TTGACCCAAACCTTCCAGTGACATTGGTGTAGATTCAAAGAATTTCCATCTTGTCTATAGCCCTGTCTAAGCAAGAAGGTAAAGGTGGTTTTGTTTTTCAGCTGAGTTATCCTAAAATGTCTGGGGCACTAACACAGACACCATTAGACACCTTCTTGAACCCTCTATAGCCTAGAGCAGTAGTTCTTGAACTTTAGCAACTCGAGGACCCCCATTTTGAATTAAAACGTGTATGCACTAAGATGAATATGAAGCTCGAAACCCAAAGCCTTCAAAGATTTATTTGTTAGCTTAATCTGATGTACTATCAGGCATCCTACTGAAGTCAATGTCAGTGTGTTAAGAAAGCCTTTGCCGGTGTTTGGCCTAATACTTCTTTCTGAGGTGTTTGGTGCAAAAACATTCGGATGCTTTCCTACACTGAACATGTGTAATATAACCGGGTCTGGGAGCACCACTGAGAGGGCCAAATCAGGGTGAATTGCTTAGAAATAAGGCTACTTACAGCCCAAGTCTGGGGTCCATCCTCTATCACAACAAACACTTCAGCTGCCACTCTGGCCAGCAAGAAGTCACACAAGCAAAGCCTCAGAGGCGCGGGGAACCGCCGCTGCTGCCGCTTCAATCTGGGTGCCTGTGGTCTGCTGGCAAAGCCTCAGAAGCGCGGGAACCCGCCCGGTGCCCCTGGTCTGCTGGAGACGGTCTCCAGCAGACCAGGGGCACCAGAGCAGCTTACGAACGGGGCTTTCTCGCCCCGACTTCCGGGGCGAGAAAGCTCCGTTCGTAAGTGCGGATCCGACGTAAGTCGGATCCGCGTAAGTCGGGGACTGCCTGTACTTCTGTTACTGCATTACTTAATTGCAGAGAGTGAGCACAAAATTCTCCTGTTCAACATTTCAGCATCTGTTGAGTTCTATGAAAGTATTTACATCATCTTTTTGTGTGCCATCTTGCAAATTGTTCTGCCACTTTTACAACTATGTGACAGGTTTATCTAAGAGCTTTAATTAAATTTTTGGAAAACAAAGTTTTAGTTCGTCAGATGTTTCAATTGTTGTTCCATTGATGCTCGTGGGGACAGAAAGAAGCATGCCTTGTCTTAAAATAAACATTAAGAGGATTAACTACGATACAAAGTATTTTAGTGGAATGAAGATTATGAAATGCCTTTGTGGGCATCTTTTTAGTAGCTCCTTCTGTTTTCAGTGCATATCTATCTGTCCGTGGAATTCAGCATCTTTTACAATAGGGAAACCAGAGGAATTTGGTGGCTTGTGTTTTGTGTCGAATGTAGGGCTGATGTATTCTGCCTAAATTGGCAGCTGTTTTTGATGCTGTTACAAGCTCACATTATATGTCTTAACTCAAGATGAGGAAACATGATTGATTGTACTGTTTATTAAAAAGGCTGATTATTGTATGAAGTGAAACATTAAAGTTGTTTCCAAACATAGTATCAAGTTCTGGACTTATCACAACTGACTAAAAAATTCTTCAAAGCATATTTGTTTTTAATAAAGATATGCTGAGCCATAAAGTTTTAGTTGCCACTGGGATATGAAGACATAGCTTTTGAATTATGAAAATTATAGAGCCATAGCTAGACAGGTGCATGACTCAAAAATAAGATGATAAAATACGTTCCATGAAAATAGCATGGTATTTAGTTACCAGTAGTGCAATAAAAAGTCTAGTGATTTTCCTTAAGCAAGATTGATGGGAGACCTGCAAAGACTTCGCTTTGTAATTGCCGCTCAAAATAGCTCTATAGGGGCTAGGTTCAGCAAATGTTTAATGTGCTCATACTCTACCCTTCATTTCAAATTTAAATTGGGGGTTTTAGTATAGTGAGTTTAGCTTTAGCCTTGTCTCCATTATCAACATCAAAGCACTATCACAAAATGGAATAGAAGTTGTAGTCTTTTTGTCACGATTGGCCAAGTAATGGAATGTTGAGTTGTGTGAAGCAACCAAAAGACAAGACAAAGATGTATTTCCTTGCCGTCGTCATTTCTGGTTGAGCCCACAATACTAGATGATTATGTGCTGGACATTTTCTATACCGAGAAATGGTCTCTCTCCCAACTAGCTGACAAGCTAAAACCATACAGAGGGTGGATGGAGATAATAGCTGGAGCTGTGTGTGATTTACATAGTCCAAAGAAAGACTGAAAGGGTGTGTCTAGACTACATGGCTCCATTGACGGAGCCATGTAAATTAGCTTATTCGATTAAGTCAAAGAAGCAGAGATTTAAATAATCCCCGCTTCATTAAAATAAACATGGCCGCCGTGCTGTGCCCACGATCAGCTGATCGTCGGCACAGCGGGGCAGTCTAGACACGGCACGGTCAACAAGGGAAGCCTTTGTTGACCACTCCGGTATGCCTCAGCTGATCGTGGGCACAGCACGGCGGCCATGTTTAATGTAATGAAGCGGGGATTATTTAAATCTCCGCTTCTTTGACTTAATCGAATAAGCTAATTTTCATGGCTCCGTTGACGGAGCCATGTAGTCTAGACACACCCAAAAGGGGCGAGGAATCAGGACAGAGCTTTGGGGTTGCCACCAGATACTGTGTTTTGCAGTGTGACTGCTCTTACTCAAAATTTGGCTAGTTTGTGAAGAGTAACTTGAGGGTAGATAACTCCAGTAAACTCTGCAGTCAAAGACATACCTTTAGACCACTTAAACAAGCTTCTTTGCTTAATGTTTTGCTGTAATGTTACAAATAACCATAAGGTAGTTATTATTATTCCATGAATATTATTTATTTATTTTTGTTCTTTTTCCTGTATTTCATTGATTAAACATTAGAATTAACTAAATTGAAAAAAATCATACACATATAATACAAGAAAAATACTAGTTATATGCTGAGCAGTATCTAATTTTAGGCCTTAAATGTTAATGTGAGATTTTAGAAGCCATTTTGGCTTTTCGTTTATGGAACGAAATGAGTGGTTTCAACTTCACTTAAATTTAGTAACACTCTTTTTCGCAAAGCCCTACCAAAGCACAAGCTATATCTTGCACTCTTCACCTGTCTTGGATGCTATAGTTGTTCAAACATAATTCAGCATTTACATTGGAATAATGTATTTGCTAATAAACGTTTAGTGCAAAAATCTTGGATTTATTTTTTTAAACCCTGCAGGTGGGTGGGTGTTTTTGTTGGGGAGGGGACATAAGTGAAATAGGTAAAGGATAGAGGAAGTATTTTGCATACTTGTTGAAAGGACTACATACTACATCATTTTAGTTTTACATAAAATGTTAACGCTAGAGCCATCTGTCATTATTTTTGCATTCGTAGATTTGTGCTTTAGTCAAGTTCTAAATTGATAAAGTAAGGCTTAAAAAAGAGTGTTGTCCATCCTTACTCTTGGGAAGACAACTTTAGTGCCACTGATACTATTGTAGTGACAACAGACCTAACTGGTCTCAATGTTTACTACTATGTTGTTTAGAATTCCGTGGGCAACGGTGAAACTGACAAAATTCTCAGTTCAGTTTCACTCTGCTGTCTGCTCTGTATAGAGCCATAGGCTTCATCCTCACTGGTAGCTGGTGTTGGTTAGGGAGTATTGGATTATTTGGTACATTAGTTGCCAATAGGCTGATGGAGAGGTTACTACAGTCACAGACTCTTTTTTAAAGGTTTCAACTAGGGATGTTAATTAGTAACGGGTTAAATAGTTACCTGGTAAGCTGCCCCAGCCCCGCTTAGCCCCCTGCGCGGGGCTGCTGGCTCCCAGCTCGTGTGGAGGACTGGGGACCATGGCAGCAGCCCACATACGGGGCCAGGAGCAGCTGGGCTGGAATGCTCCCTGCCTATGGTGAAGGCTACTAGTCTAGCCTAACCCTAGTGGGGGAGGGGTGGGAGTGGGGGTGGTGGCGCGCGCTTCATTCCTGATAGAGCAGGCCCCCTCCCTCTGCGTTTAACCATTAAAACCCATTAAATGGAATTTTACATTCCTAATTTCAACTAAATAGTGGGGAAAAGGGAAGTTGTTTGGGGTCTCTTCCCTTGCCCCCCTCATCTCTTTCCCGTTTTTTTTCCTCATTGGACCAGGTAATCAAAGGTTGGAGAAAATCAAACCAAAACATTTTAATTTTGCTTTGTATTGAACATTATTATTTCTTTTGTTGTAAAATAAAAAAATTACAGAGATTTTGAGAGAAACAACTTTTGTTTTGCCCAGTATTTTTTCAGGAAAATACTGATGAAATTTTTTTTACCTATTTTTACCTGGGTAAGAACTATTAAATAACATCATCCCTTCTCTTGAAAGGGAGAAGACAAAAATTAAGTTATGGCACTGCTCATAACCAGGATCTTTTAGAATGATTTAGTTTGAACTAATACTGTAATTATCTGGAAGAGCTTAATTTTATAAAGTATAAAATGATCTGTGCTTGTACGATGATTAAAGCTAGTGTCTATCCCAGGGTTCCCAACCTATGGGTTGGGACCCAGATATGGTTCGCCATTACATTTCAAAAGTGTCGCCAGGTGGCTCTTAAGGAGCCATTCACACTTTTTTTTTTAATTGACGTGGGTCACCAAGTCTTCCTGAAGTGTCAAAATGAGTCCACATCTAGAAAAGGTTGGGAACTGCTGGTCTGTCTTGATAACATTTAAACAGTAACTGCAGAGAATAAAAGTGTTTTGTTTTGTGTTTCTGTCTCGCTCTCTTACTCCCCCTTTTTGTTCTGACAATTCTCTGAAGTTGACTCTAATAGTTCTGTGTTTAAAAAAAAAAAAAATACCCCAAACCTGCCAGCTGGTAACAAGGAACCCGATTATGAGGAGACACTTAGAGCCTTCATCTCTTAACTGACTTCACAAAGGGCCTGCCTAATCTTGCGGCACTGCAGCTGTACCACTGTAGCACCTGGTGAAGACATATGTACTCTCCTTCCCCAAAAAGCAGGAGCTGTATTAACTGAAGAAGCCCTCCTGTCTATACCAGGGGTCAGGTTGGTTCAATGATGTTACTCAGGATGTGGGAAATCTAGCGTAATTAAACCAACATACGTTTATACCAACATAAATCATCTCAACAACTTGCAGGATGAGATTTGTTGTTAACTTATTTATCCCCTGTAAGGTGTTGCTATGCAGAGGAGGAGGACCTGTGAAATGGGCTTCAATGTCTTCATTTTTAAAAAGTGCAGTGTGGTTATGCTTATCTGAATGCTTAAGCCTTGCGTCTACTCCTTGCTGAGAGATGGCTTTGGCTCTGTGCTGTGCGGACAAGACAGAGAATATCAGTTTAATGTATTTTTGGTCATATTTTCTCTGCACAGGTTTTGTGTGCGAATGGTTGTACTTAATGAGATATCTATTGGCCTGGCTTTGAAGGTGGTGCTATCACTTCCTCCTTAGATATGTGTGCATGTCGTTGTATACCTCTTTCATGGCTGTGCTTCCTTGAGATCATAAAACATTACAATGTAATTGCTTTATAGGAAAAAGTTCATTTCACTTTACAGCAGACCTTTGATTAGTACTTGTATTGGTAAACATGAGTATGTGAGTAATTGTTAATTCTAGTTACCATTTTAATCTCAAAAGGGATGGCTATGAGTCATTATTTGCTATGCTTTTGGACTAATGCTAGGGTGAATGTTGTCATTCTTGAATGGGAGTGGCAGTGCCTGGGAAAGGAAAAAACAAAACCTTATACCGTGCTGGTAAAATGCTCACTCTTAACTTCGGTTCAGAATTTGTTTCCTAACTTTCTACATAGAATGACAGGATATTTCTTACGGTGCATAAGTGGTGTGGGGCTGAACTTAAAGCTCCTTTTATCAGAAAAGTGGTTGGTTGAAGCTGATCTTTCTCCAGCAGGACTTTGCCATGCTCAGGCTGTAGTTCAACAAATATATGGTTTGAGACCAGATATATAAAAATTGGAGGGAAAGGGATATTGGAATATCTTAAATGGAACAATGTTTACAACTCATGTCTACATATATTGAAATTGTGTGGGAGTGAGTGGATGATTGAACTCTGAAATATTGCTATTTTTAACACGTGCACTTTTTCTTTGCTGCTGGGTTGATGTAGAAAAGTTGGATCATTTTATTTTGGGCCAGGCAAGCAATGTTGCACCACTGAGTAGAAGTTAGTCCATTCTGACACCCCCCCATTGTAGTTTTTTTAGATTCTCTGTTTATGACCTTCTAAATTCTGGGAATGTGTCCAAGTCTTTTACGCAGTCTGAAGTGCTTATCGCCTGAGACTTTTATTCTGTCCAACAGAATACACCGATCTATTTAGCAAATGCCCACACTATCACAGCTGTATGTCCAAGTAATCTCTCCCTCTTACAGAGGGTATGCAGTTACAGTTCTCCTTGCTTTTTCTTCTGATGGAAGCCTTTGGTTTTCCTTTTTTTCCTTTTGTGGAGAATCTGTTTGAGTTGTAGTGTTTTTTCAGGTACCTGTTTTTTCAGGTAGTGGTGTTATATGTTACTGCTTTACTCCTCATTCAGATGAACTCTGTCCTCTTTTATATTTTGTTTTCTCTGGAGGAAAAAAAAATAATAAAGCCAATGAGCAAAAGGAACTGCTGTTGTGTTTTGCTCTGCACTTGGGGAATTAGACTTCACATTTTTATTTTAGTAAAATAATATCAAGAAAAAACATGATCTTTACTAAATACTGTCAATTAAAATGTTTAAAAAGTTTGATCTTGAAAGTCCCAAGCTCTCTAAAACTTGTTACTCTATGGAATACAAATTAGGAATGTTAAATATTGGTTAATTTAATTGTCAAGTAACCTAATGAATTTTATCAGTTTGTTGACTATTCTATAGTCTCCAGGGACGGGGCCAGCAGCCACTGTATCAGAGGCAGCAGTGCAGGGTGCCAGACAGGAGCTGGTCCAAGAGGAGAGCCCGTTTAAAAACCAGTTCCCCTTCTGGACTAGCTGTCTGTCTCCTAGTGCTGCTGCCTGTGATAAAGATGCAGCAGCATGGGGTGGCAGCAGCCACTGTCTAATGCAGGGTGAGGGGGTGTCTAAGCTCCTGGACCTGGTGTGAGCCACGTGGCCTGCCCACCTGGTTCCTAATACACTTCAAGTGTAGATCTGCAGCAGGGGTAGGTTCTGGATCTGGTAGGAGCCAGAACTGAGCCGGGTTGCTGGCCAGTCTGCAAAAAACTTACTGGCAAGGGTGGGGGGAGGGAAATGTGTGCAGTCTATAGCCTTAACCGATAAGCTTTTGCTTATCCGTTAATTGATTACACTATTACATCAGGTCTTTAGGACATAGACTATCCTATATCAGTACATTCTCACTGGGACTGAGTGTCTGCAAGCTTGTTTTGAATACTCTCACAGTAAACTGCTGTATTTTCATATCTTAGGTCTGTCTACAATAACAGCTTTTTCAATTATTTTATTCTCATTAGGAGCAGTCATTCCACTTGAGCACTCATAACAATGTGATGTGAATGTCTTTGACAAATGAAAAATGGTCTGACTATTGCCCATCCTCCCTAAAATTCCGTAAGTTTATTGGAGTGCAGCGGATCACCTTCCAGTGCCACATACTTGGCCTTCCTTCCCCCTAAAAAAGATCTTGCATTTCAATATCTGCTTTTTCCAGACAGAGAGTGTGCAGGACTCCCATTTAAGCTCTGCTCTTTATTTGGGCAGAAGGCTTCTGTTGAGCCTTTTTAGGCTTTGGTGTAAGAAACATGCTTCTTCACCCAAAGCCTGACCAGATGGACAGCATTCAGAATGTCTTACCATGGGAAGGAATAGTTAGTGAAGCAAAGGGGAAGGAAGACACAGTGTACATTTATTCCCTTAAGAATTGCAAACTCCAAAGGATATAATTTTCATTTAAAAGCAGGCATCCCAATATTAAGCTTGTCTTCCCTCTCCTGGAACTGACTGCCCCCACATCTCAGCATAGTGCTATGTTTCTCTCTTCCTTCTCCCCCTCCACCCCCCATGATAATCGTTTTGTACAGCATTGGAGATGCTTCCTGAAGGACACAGTAACATTAGTAAAGGCTCCCAGGTGCAAACTGTATGGCCAGTTTCTAGCACATTTTCTGGAACAGCTTCAAAAGTTATAGACGTTTAATATTAAATAGAGAATAACACTAGGTTTGTTCGATTCTCGTGGTTGTGGGGGAAATGGAACTATTTCTTCGAGATGGGTGTCCCCATCGGTGCTCCTCATTAGGTCGGTGTGAGTGGAGATGTCATAGCAGTGTCCCTATGGCCACGCAGGTATGCACCAGCTGTCACGCGCTGTTAGGCTGCAGGCATCGTGCAGCCAGCGGCTGACTCCGGGAAGCCCGGGGCAGAGCAGCTGGGGTGCTGCCAGGTTGGTCCCGTAGCGCCGAGGGGCACATCACCCCAGACCCTTCACAGCCCCCCCCCCTTCCGATAGTCTGGCATATTCAATAATCCGGCACCCCCTGGGTCCTAAAGGTGCCGGATTATTGGAAGTTTAGTTATTGAGTTTTAAATAGTTAATTACTTAGTTTAAAAAAGGAAAGAAATCTTAATTAGTATAAGGGGTTTTCTTCTTTTTCTCCCAGTTAATCCCTTCCTGCTGTCTCTGACTGCTTACGCAGCCATGCCTGGATCACTTGGCTTTAAATGCTGCACCTCATATAAAAAGCATATTCCGCTTTTGGATGGTCACTCACAATGCATCCGCTGTCATGGAGAGCTGTATGTCTCTCAGAAATGCCCTCACTGTGCAAAGCTACAATCGCAGGTGCAGAAAGACAGAGATATTTGACTCAAATTATTTTTATTAGAAAACTCGCTTAGGCCAGCCTCCGATCTGGGCCAACAGCCTGAGGAACTCAAGCAGCAGGGATCCAAAAAGTGAGCCTCCTTAGCACCTCAAAGGGCTACAGCACCGAAACAGCCATCCCCGTCATGGCCAGTGCTGAGAGCAGCAGCAGCACTGCGCCTCAGCACGTATGACAACGCTTGTGTCTCTGGAGCCCCCAGCGGAGACAAACATGCGCTAAATCGCACTCTGAGGCGACAGGCTTCAAGTTGCCTGCCTCACTGGCTGCAGCACTGTCTGGCAATGATACGATCTTGCCGATGCAACACAAGGGCACAGAGCCAACCGTGTTCACTGGCGCCTCAGCTTCCACCACAGAGGCGCCCGATGAGGCACAACTGCCCTCGGCACCAAGGCATGATTCAGCGCCTCAGCCTCTATGACCCCCACTACAGCACCAGCAGCAGCTGTTGGGCACTATACTCAATAGAGACATATTAGTCTCATATGCTTTTAACTCACCATTTTTACAACCTGAGTGCTCTCCCCCTATGTTAACATCACAGAGATCACTCTCTCAGGAAAGATTTTCATCTGAATCTGACAATGACTTCTCTGATGAAAACCCCCTAGAGAAGTCTCCTTATACAGTTCAGAGTATTTACTCTCCCAGATTTGGGAATATGCCTCCATACTCTGGCAATCTGTGGGTACCTCCACCTGAGCATTATCCATATTGGCAATATTGGGACAAATGGCAATCTTACTAGAAAACACCAGCAGGGCCAGAAGTGACACAGAGTTCAGTACTCCCCCTCATAAGAACGGCCGTACTGGGTCAGACCAAAGGTCCTTCTAGCCCAGTAGCCTGTCTGTCGACAGTGGCCAATACCAGGTGCCCCAGAGGGGGTGGACCGAAGGCAACGATCATGCAATTTGTCTCCTTCCATCCTTCTCCAGCCTTTGATAAACAAAGGCCAGGGACACCATTCCTACCCCCTGGCTAATAGCCATTTATGGACCTAACCTCCATGAATTTATCTTGCTCTTTTTAAAACTCTCTGTTATAGTCCTAGCCTTCACAGCCTCCTCTGGCAAGGAGGATTAACGGTGCGCTGTGTGAAGAACTTTCTTTTATTAGTTTAAAACCTGCTACCCATTAATTTTATTTGGTGTCCTCTAGTTCTTATATTATGGGAACAAGTAAATAACTTTGCTTTATTCACCCTCTCCCCACCGCTCATGACTTTATATACCTCTATCATATTCCCCCCTCAGTCTCCTCTTTTCTAAACTGAAAAGTCCCAGTCGCGTTAGCCTCTCCTCATGTGGGACCCGTTCCAAACCCCTAATCATTTTAGTTGCCCTTTTCTGAAACTTTTCTAATTCCAAAATATCTTTTTAGAGGTGAGGAGACCCCATCTGTACACAGTATTTAAGATGTGGGCATACTATAGTTTTATACAGGGGCAGTAAGATATTCTTCATCTTATTTTCTATCCCTTTCTTAATTCTTAGCATCCTATTTGCTTTTTTGACTGCCGCTGCACACTGCGTGGATGTTTTCAGAGAACTATCCACGATAACTCCAAGATCTCTTTCCTGATGAGTTGTAGCTAAACTAATCATATTGTATGTATAGTGGGGGTTATTTTTTCCAATGTGCATTACTTTACACTTATCCACATTAAATTTCATTTGCTGTTTTGTTGCCCAATCACTCAATTTGGTGAGATCTTTTTGAAGTTCTTCACAGTCTGCTTTGGTTTTGACTATCTTGAACAGTTTAGTATCGTCTGCAAACTTTGCCGCCTCACTGCTTACTCCTTTCTCTAGATGGTTTATTAATAAGTTGAATAGGATTGTTCCTAGGACTGACCCTTGGGGAACACCACTAGTTACCCCTCTCTATTCTGAAAATTTACCATTTATTCCTACCCTTTGTTTCCTGTCTTTCAACCAGTTCTCAGTCTATGAAAGGATCTTCCCTCTTATCCCATGACAACCTAATTTACACAAGAGCCTTTGGTGAGGGACCTTGTCAAAGGCTTTCTGGAAATCTAAGTACCGGTATACCCTTTTGGCTACCTTATTCCCTTTGCGTCCATACCCCCTTTCCACCTCCCTTCCCTGTCCCTCTTCAGGGACCACTCTCAAAAGATCCTCTTTCAACAAGAAGTAGAGCACCTCTTACACATTGGGGCGATTGAACCAGTCCCCACACATTTTAGAGGCAAGGGATTCTACTCCCATTACTTCTTAACAGAAAAAAGATTGGGGGGTTGGAGGCACATTCTAGACCTTCGAGCACTCAAATTCGTACAGAAACAAACATTCAAGATGGTAACACTTAGTACCATATTATTGGCATTGGAAAAGAATGACTGGTTCTCGTCCCTCGACTTGCTAGATGCATACTGGATTGTGCCATCCACCCTGTCCACAGGTGTTTTCTTCGTTTTGTTGTAGATTCTCAACACCACCAATACAAAGTGCTTCCTTTCAGACTCTCTACAGCCCCAAAGGCCTTCTCAAAGATGCTGGCGGTTGTCACAGCATACCTGAGGAAACAAAGTGTTCTCATATTTCCTTACCTAGATGACTGCTTCCTCAAGTTGCACTCACACAATGATTCCTGCCACTCTGTCGGTCACAAAAAACCTATTCTGACACCTGGGCCTTCAGGTGAACGAAGCCAAATCGATGCTCTATCCTACACAAAAGATACAGTTTATAGGAGCAGGCCTCAATTCAACAATGGCCACCGCATCCCTACCTACAGACTGTTTTCAAAAAATTGTGGCCTCGGTAAATACCTTACGATCCAGCCCCCGCACAATAGCACTCAAACAGCCTTCAGCTGTTGGAGCATATGGCAGCGTGCAGCTTTGTAGTCGGCAACACCTGTCTGCACATGAGATGCTTACAGAGCCAGCTGGGACAGGTGTAGAAACCAATGTTCATCTGCTATCCAAAGCCCTTGCTCTTCCAGGGGTGGTAAAAGAATCCTTATAGTGGTGGCTGAACCCATAGAACTTGTGTTCCAGAGTCTCCTTCCACCCTCCAGAACCATCCATCTCCATGACGACAGATGCATGTCATACAGGATGGGGCACCCATCTATGTCAGCGTACCTGCCAGGGCCTATGGTCCAGCACCGACCAGAATTTGAACATAAATATCCTAGAACTGTGGGCAGTCAGGAATGCATGCATCAAATTCCTCCCATTCATCGCCAGCAGACATGTCAGACTGTACATAGACAATGTTTCAGCAATGTTTTACAGAAATCATCAGGGTGAAGCCCAATCTCGAGCACTCTGCACAGAGGCCATAGCACTTTGGAATTGTGCCTGAAATACAACACAATTATCACTGCAGTGCATCTTTCAGGCACTCTAAATACAATGGCAGATGCACTCAGCAGAGCCCTTCCAGTTGAGCACCAGTGACAAGTGAACCTGCACATGTTGGCGGACATCTTCCACCGATGGGGTCACCCTATCATAGATCTGTTTGCCACACAGTTCAACAGTCAATGCCCCCTATTCTGTTCCAGGGCAGGAATAAGCAAGGGATCAGTGGGGTATGCCTTTCTCATCACATGGACATCTCATCTATTCTACGCGTTTCCTCCAATTCTCCTATTGAACAGGGTAGTTTACAAGATAAGGAGGGACAGGGCCTGTCTCATACTGATAGCACCAGCATGGCCACGCCAGCCATGGTTTCCCTTCCTAGCGACGATGTCCTGTGCCCCACCGATCCACTTACCTTGAATCAGGGATCTCCTCCTTCACTTGGGCTCCTGTGCCGCCCATCCGAACCTCCATTCACTACACCTGAAGGCATAGCTCCCGATGGTTCTCTGTCCTAGAGTTGACCTGCTCACAGCAAGTACAAACAGTTCTTCTACACAGTTGGGCGCAGAGCACCCGCATGACTTACCTTCAGAGATGGAAAAGATTCTTGATGTGGTGTTCTCGTCACCAGTTGGTTCCTTCAACATCCCCCTTACCTACCATCTTTGACTAGCTTTTGCACCTTAAACAAGCGGGCTATACAATAAGCTCCATTAAAGTTCACCTTGCGGCCCTTCGAACCAGTGGGGACCACCTCATTATTACAGTAGTCCATAAAAACTGTTTTCCTGGTAGCTATTACCTCGGCCGGACAGATAGGAGAGATTGCAGCCCTAATGGCAGATCCTCCATATACCACCTTTTTTTAAAACAAAGTCACTTTACATACCTATCCCAAATACCTTCCCAAAGTACACTCATTCTTCCATATCAACAAGACAACAAATCTTCCCACCTTCTTCCCCAAACCACACACCAACTCTTTCAAGATGAAAATGCACACCCTTGACCTGTGCTGAGCGCTCTCTTTTTACCTGCAGCGAACGAGACCGTTAAGGGCATCTCCCAGACTATTTGTTTCAATAGCAAACCACAATAAGGGCCAGGCTGTCTCATTACAGAGACGCTCCCACTGGATCTTGGATTGTATTAAGCTTTGCTACGCACAGTCAGATGTGCTCTCTCCAGAGAGCATAAGGGCATGCTCAACCAGAGCCATGACTACCTCGATAGCTTTCCTCCGTAAAGTACTCATAAGAGACATCCGCAAAGCTGCCATGTGGTCCTCCGACCATACATTTGCAAAACACTATGAACTTATGCAGGGACCTCTTTCCAACTTGAAACTAGCTAAGGCAGTTCTTTCCACTACTTTTTTGCCAGATCCAAAGTCCCTTCCTCCCTAAAGAGAAATTGCTTTGTAGTTCCCTAATGTGGAGCACCCACGGGGACATCTCTCTAGAAGAAGAGGAGGTTACTCACCTCAATAGTACTGACGTTCTTCGATATGAGTGTCCACGTGGGTGCTCCACAACTCTCCCTTCTTCCCCTCTACTTTGAGATCCTGGCCTTCCCAAGCCATGGTTTTGGGGTAGAGAAGGAACTGAGGAGTGGGAGGAGAGGGCTCACGCATGTGCAATACCTTCAGCCTAACAGCGCACAGCTGCTGGTGCTTGCCTGCATGGCCCCAGGGACACTGCTATGAAATCTCTGCTCTGCAGCTCGGTGGTAGCGCACCGACCTAATATGGAGCACCCCTAGGGACACCCATCTCAAAAAACGTCAGTTACTATTGAGGTGAGTAACCTTCTTTTTTGGCGGGAATCTAGAGGGCTCTTCGCTAGGCAAGGTACTTCTATGTGAAAGTTTGTGGTGGGTGTGTTTTTTGTTGTTGTTATGAAAATAGTTTTGACTTGAGAAGGGATGAAGTCTTTGTAGGGGCCTAGGAAGCATTTGTGAGAACCCTTTTAAAAATGCAACTAACATGACAACCTGCTTTTTGGTGCAATCTGGTGTGTCTCGGAAATATCAAGAAAAATTGATCTAAAAGTGGATTTCTGAGTCCTGGACAGAAGTCACGTGGCAGCGACTACTTATCATCCCCTGCTCTGGGTACTGATATTTCTTACTTCCCGTGCTACTTATACCTCTTTCAGCATGAACACAGTGCACCTGGGAATCCTTTAACTGCTGGATAGCCTGCAATCCATTGCAAAACAATGATTTTAGAGCTGAAGCTGACCATGCACATGACACTTCATATGTTCCTAATATCAGATTGATTATAAGAATGTCACACATTTAATACGTACTTGAGAATTGCTTTCATTTACTCTTCCCATGAGAAACTCAACAACCAAGGATCTATGAAGAGAAATATTTTTAAAAAATTTTTGTAGTTAATATACCAATAAAAGCAGCAAAGTAGTATTTAAATAAAAGAGTAGGAAAATCTCCAGTCTAACTAAATTTCTGTTTCCTTTTTCACACCCATAAAACTCCAGTCTTCCTTTTATATTGGGAATATAGTTTTATTAACAAAGCTGATCAACTGCATGAAAAGACCATAGACTTACAATGCAACATGACAGAGTGTAATGTTAAAGCTATAATAAAGGTCTAAACAAGGTTGATGCCTTGTTTTAAATTTTGTGGGCACCCTTTCACAAGGACTCTGATTTTAAATGTTAAGAACAATCTTCAAAGCTTAGCTTTAAAATTCTTGGTCCTAGTAATTGTACTACAATAGTTTAAGCAGATACTGTATGAGGTGCTGCATGGTTGCTGGATAGAACTTGTTTCAGGTTAGGGTGTTGTCAGACATGCATCACATTTCCATCACAGTCACCTAAGAACCCACCCCAGTAATTCATTCCGGTGCCAACTCTGTCCACACATCTATACAAAGGACATAATCACAGGACCTAACCATATAAGCCACTACATCAGAGGCTCATACAGCTGCACAGCCACCAATGTGATCTGTGCCATCAAGTGCCAGCAATGCCTCTCTGCCATGTATATTGGCCAGACTGGACTGTGTCTATGACAAAAGATAATGGACACAAATCAGATATTCAAAATGGTAATGCAGCGAAGCCTGTCGGGGAACATTTTAACTTGCCTGTGCACTCACTAATGGATCTAAAAGTGACTATCATTACAAAGCAATTTCAAAAACCACTGGAGAGAGAAGCTGCAGAACTTGGTTTCATTTACAGGTTTGACACCTGTAATCAAGGTTTGAACAAAGACCAGACTTGGATGGGCTGATACATTCCACACCCTAATGACTTAAAAAGCTAAGCACTGGGTACTTACAGCCCACTCTAACCTCAGTTAGCATGGACACACTTAATTGACAATATTTTTCCTAATTTTCCTTCTCTTTCCTTCTCCATCCCCTTTATTTCTCTATTTATTTGTACCTTAGACCCCTTACTCCATTCATCCAAAGAAATGGGTTGTGCCCATGAAAGCTCATGATACCATCTACCCGTATATACTCGAGTATAAGTCGACCCGAATATAAGCCGAGGCACCTAATTTTACCCCAAAAAACTGGGAAAAAGTATTGACCCGAGTATAAGCCTAGGGTAGGAAATGAGGCAGCCTAGGGTAGGAAATGAGTCGGGGCGAAAGCTGCTCTGGTGCCCCTGGTCTGCTGGAGACCGTCTCCAGCAGACCAGGGGCACCGGGCGGGTTCCCGCGCTTCTGAGGCTTTGCCAGAGCAAAGCCTCAGAGGCGCGGGACCCCCCGGTGTCCCTGGTCTGCTGGAGACGGTCCCCAGCAAACCAGAGGCACCGGGAGCAAAGCCGGGAGGCGGAGGGGTCCCGTGCCTCTGAGGCTTTGCCGGAGCAAAGCCTCAGAGGCGCAGGCCCCCCCGCGGCTGCGGCTTCAGTCCGGGAGCCTGTGGTCTGCTGGGGATGGTCCCCAGCAGACCACAGGCTCCCAGATTGAAGCGGCAGCCGCGGGGGGGTCCCGCGCCTCTGCGGCTTTGCCCGCCTCAGTTCTCGAGATGCTGACTCGAGTATAAGCCGAGGGGGGCATTTTTCAGCACAAAAACTGTGCTGAAAAACTCGGCTTATACTCGAGTATATACGGTACATTTTTGTTAGTCTCTCTAAGGTGCTACAGAACTATTTCTTGTTTTTTAAACTCTAAATAGTCAACATTGAGCAGGTGCAAACTGCAGTCTTTTCAGAGGGTTATATCTTGGCCTCATTTGGATAGATTTTTGTGAGAATGGCAAAAGGCACCCCTGACAAAAGGTGCCCTCACATAAATTTCAAGTCCTTGCTCCAAAGGATGTGTGCACTAGAGACACTAAAAGAAATGGTTACCCAAATTTTTTAACTTGGGCACAACAAAATATTTTCCCCCTACTCTGATTCTTGGAAACAGATTAACCATTTTGGCTGAATTTTTTTTTCCCCTAAACAACTCTGCCTGAGACAGATGCATGGTTTTGAGAGCGTCAGCTCAAATGGTTAAGGTTTTTGGCAACGTAATATGTGACTTAAAATAGGATCTTTTGTAGGGCTAAGTGTCAGGCAACCTCAGTAATAGCCCCATAGATAGTACTCACATAAGTGTTTAAGTGTTTGCAGGATTAGGCCCACAGCATGGTTTTTCTCTCTCATATCCATTTCTGGTGATTAAGAGGCAAAGCAACTGGCTGTGTGGTTTCTTATCTTTTTTTTCTCTTATACTTTGTCCACTGAAACGTAAGGTTAATGGGATAATGGTGACCTCAAAAGCACCAAAGAGTGAGTGAGGAGGTACTAGTGGCCTGCTTTTCTTTTCTTTTCCTGCCTGCCATCCTTGAAACAGCATGCTCTCTCAAGGGTAACGTTCCTATCATCTATGCATAGGGCTGGTTTTTATTGAGCATAAGCCTTGTTCTGTACAGAATTTAATAATTGTATTTTATGTAGTTAATAAGGAAACATCTGTGTGCACAGTCAAAGTTTGGAATAATTTTAGATAGTACTGTACAGCTATTCTGTTTTTTTATTTTGGCGGGGCTGCTTTTTCCCCCACACATGGTGAAATAACAGTCCTTGGGTAAGTCATACTGGTATCAAATGCATACCTGAACTTGTTAAGCACAATTCTTGGCTGAGAACGTAACAAAGACTCCATTGTGCTGTCACACAGGAAAGCCAGTAAACACAAAAGTGGGTGAGCTCTTAAAAGACCTATTGGCTTTTCAGGCACATGTATCTGACAATGAACGAGGGAAGAGGAATAGGAAAAAAAAGAGCTAAATTTATGTCATTCCTAAATAGCCTGTTTTCAATTTCCTGTTTCAGTTTCTACTTACAAAATTTGAAAGTAAACTTCAGACTTTGGCATATGCTATTCTTTTCTCTAGGAATATGCTTAACCAACAGTTGTCTCCCCACATGCTCATTTCCAGTTAAACGATTGCCACTAATGTAAGCCGTGTGGAAAGTTGTGCCTTAGTATAACTCATGCTACCCCAAACACCATCTCATCGCCACCCTCCTAAAATGTTTAATCAGTAATTGCTAGATTACAATTCTGGTTCTTTTAGCTCACAAGTATATTCATAATAAAATCCTAATGGGATTTTATTCTTGACTAAAATGGGGAATTTAAACCTAAACCTGGAGCCTATCTAGTTGCAAAGAGAAAAAGGGAGGCCTGAGAGGAGGAACTTCAAATGTCTCCTAAGCCATTAGATTGTTCTTGTTTTTAAGAAGGAGGCTTGGTGTTTAGACTTGAAAGGTTTGTTTGGATTCAGAGGTAGCTCTGTGTTACTCCTAAATGTAAACGAGGATGGCTACCCCCTCCCCCTCATCAGTTATTAGTTTATCTTGTGAGACTGAATCTGTCTGACATTTTTACATTCCAGAGGCAAAAACAGCTATATCTAGTTAAGCTGCAAACATTAGTGGTCTTAACTAGTGTTCTGAAAAAGGTGAGTTACAATGCTAATTATTGTGGTTCTGATAATCTTGTTCAGCAACATTTTCTTAAGCAGACCAATGTAAGACCTGCTTAAGAGCTTACATTTCAAAACAAAACAAGTTCTTGAGACCTTATGGGTTAGAGATAATGCAGCTAAGTTGTGTGTTTAATTGTTAATTTTAAAGGGCTTGTCAAGTTTAGAGGGGCCAGTGGATTTTCAAAATATTCCCAGTAACCTTCAGGAGTAGTTTGCATGGTTGTTTCTAATTCCTGAAGGAATAGGAACCCCCTATATGAATAACCACGGGCTATAAGAAATGCATTTGATAATCACAGCATACGGGCTAATGACACCACCGATGTCTAAAATGCCTCTGCCTTTCTGAAACAATGTCCCCAAGGGGTAGCCGTGTTAGTCTGTAACTTTAAATACAATGAGCAGTCCTGTGGCACCTTAGAGACTAACAAATACGAGTTTTTGTGGGTTAAACCCACTTCATCAGATAAATTGGAGTAGAAATTATAGGATCCAGGGTGTATATAT